CATATACAGGATACGGTTGGATGGCGGCCTCCCGCATCCGTGTCCGCGGACTGGTCCCCCTGTCCGAGACAGACGTGGGAGGAAATTTGTGGGTTGCCGTTGGAGATGCCTTAAGCATGGCAAACTCCATCTCAGTTTATTTTAATATTTTGCTACAAAATTGTTGTGCTCCCAAACCAAATTTACCATGGTCATGCCAACATAAATTGTCATGAAAAACTTTTGATTTGCCATGTCTAAAAGCTTGACATCAAATTTTTAGCATTTTTGCTAATTAAGCCTTCAGACAACTATTGTGTTTTCCCCTGGTGCAACCATACAACATGTTGTAAATTCAATCCATACTTTTTCCATGGAAAATTCTGCGCACCAGAGGGGCCAACCCTTGTGTGAAATAGAGGAATTTCGTAACTATACCAATGTTCGTAGAGCTTCCATAATAGCTTCAACAATTTATCTACCTGCAAAAAAAAAAGCTTCAACAATTTATTTGTTTATTTTACAAAAGGTGGATAATCCCCCGATAGTCCGATGAAGTAAGTGCATATTTTGTTTTTGTGAAAAGTAAGTGTATATTTTTGAATACAGGCCTTGCATTATTTCGACGGTCTTCGTGGAGCCTCTTGCGCTTTCAACCTAACGTAATTGCCACGGGGTGATTATTGTCTTGGGAGAGGCCCGTAACAAAAAGTTCGTAAGTTGGCCCTAAGTATAGCAATTTTGTAAGGACCGCAATAGCCGACGAATGTTCCCCCGGGAGGGCTTGGCATTTGCGAATGTTTCAGATGGCAATTTAATTGTATGGGTTGACAATTTCTTTATAAACACATGACATTTTCTAGAAAGAAGATAACTTTTGCGGCAAAAACCGGCAGGATTTGCCGTCTCTTACCTAGTAAACTACCACAAAAAAACGTTCACTTCCCATCCCTCTTTGAGCTAACTTAGCCAGATAGCATCACTATTTTGTACTTCCTCCGTTTCAAAATAGATGACTCAACTTTGTACAAACTTTAGGGCATCTCCAGCCGTTGGCCTCTCAGGGGGCGTCTAAAAGCGCCGCCTGGAGGTGAGCCGGCGCAAAAAATGGCCCTGGGACGAGTCGGTCCCCAGCCGTCGGCCCCCAGCGCCGCCTCCAGGCGCGTATTAAAATAAAAAAAAAGAAGGATCGTTCGGCGAAGTTATGATAAAAACTAGTTAAATTTCGGACAAACATGGCAATTTTCGATGAAAGTCGCGCATTTTCATTACATTAACCTAATCTAAAAAAGAAAGGGGCTGAAGTAGTCGCCGCCATCGTCGTCGTCGGCCTTCTCCTCCTTGACGCGGGCGCCCCTGCTGGACCCCTGCCCGGCGTCGCCATGGCGGACTGGCGGCGGCGCGTCGTCGTCGTCGTCGCTGTCGCATAAGACGACGACCCCGTCTTCATCGCAGCCGCGTCGGCGCTCCTCGAAGCGGCGCAGGGCGGCGCGCTGGCGCTTCTTCTCCTTCTCCCGGCGCGCCTTCTCCATCGCAATGGAGTCCTGGCGCGCCCATTCTAGGGCCGCGTCGTCGTCGTCGAACTCCGCCTTCACCGGCGTCAGCCCCGGCTCCGTCTTCACCGGCGCCAGCCCCGACTCCATCTTTGGCTTGACGAAGCGCGGAGGAGCCGACGAGGAGGAGGCGCGCCGACCGCCCTCGTTGATGACGATGCCGACGCTGCGAGTGCACCGACCGATTGGCGTCTCCGCCGCGGGTTCGGCCTTGACGCCGAGAAGCGCCGGAGAACCGGAGGAGTGGGAAGATGGGCGAGAGGAGGAAGACGAGGAGGAGGCGAACCTCCTTGGCGCCCATGCGCGTCGGTGTTGCGATGGGGCGGCCCCCGTTGCAGGATAGGTCAATGGCGGGTTGTTGCCGCCGTCGAGGTACGCCAACACGCCATCCAGCGTGCGGCCACGGACGCCCTACCACAGGTGGCGCCCCTCGCTGTTCTTCGCGCCGCCGACCACCGGCGCGTCGTTGGTGGAGGCCAGGCGCTGCTGCTGGCGGCGCTGGAAGTACGCCGCCCAAGCCGCGTAATTGCCGGCGGCGTACTGGGGGAGGGAGCGCTCGTCGTCGGTCAGGGAGGCGCGTGCGACCTCGACCTCCTCGGCGAAGTACCTGGGCTTCGCCACGGCGTCGGGTAACGGGGGAACAGGCACTCCCCCGTCGCTGAGCCGCCACCCCGTCGGCCCGGCGTGCATGTCCAGCGGCGCCGGGATGTTCGCCTGGAACAGGAGCCAGGACTCCTGTTCGCGAAGCGAACGGCGGCCGAAGCCGTTCGCCGCCGCCTCGTCTCCGGGGAAGCGCTCTGCCATGGCGACGGACTCGGCGGTGATAGAGAGGGAGAGAGAGGGGCTGCCGGTGGCGCTCGGGAGAGGAAGACGAAGACGGAGAGAGAGGGGCTGGGCGGCGGCGAGGGGCGAGTCTGGTGTGGGCACAGGCGAGAGACCGCCGGCTTTTATAGCCGCTCCGCGCCCGTGTGTACGCGTGCGAGGGAGGGGAGGCGTCGGCGCGCCGTCCCGTGACGCGTCGCCCGTGAGGAATCAACGGCAAGGCTGATCGGCGGCAGCCCTGTCATTGATTCCCCGCGGGAACCGAGGCAGTTGGGGGAAGACGAGCCGCCGTGTCCCTGACGCGGCTGGCCCGTGGCTTTTTCGTGCCAAAACAGTTCGCCCCGGCGCCCCCGGGCGCCCCCAGCGCGCCGGGTTCGGCCTGAGTCCGCCGGCGCTGTTTTCGGCCCAGGCCGGCGAAAATCGGGCTCCTGGGGACGTGACTGGGCCGTTTTTTCGGTGCCGGCGCAAAAAAAACGTCTGGAAAGATCTTCCTGGGGCGTGCCTGGAGATGCCCTTAGTATAAAGTTGAGTCATCTATTTTAAAAGCGGAGGGAGTAATTGCCATGGGTTAGCCGGCGCCGTCATTGCTACTCAATCAATGCACTGCCACTACTATACTAAGTCCTACCGGGCAAGCAATGTGACGTTGCCACCAAGCCAAGAAAACTAAAGAAGGATAGTGGCCGGCCTCTAGTATATAGTCTGAAAACGACGGACGGCCGGTTTCCAATCCATGCAGCGAGGTCGGCTGACTTCTTCGTCCGAAACCTTCCGGTAGTACTACCACTACGTGGTCTTTTCAGGTTTCTATGGACTAGGCGTCTCTAGCCTCTAGGTGACATTTATAATTGTCGTCTCGTGTGCGTTCTTTGACCTGATCTCGAGCTGCACGCTTCAGCGCGTGGCACCGGCCTGCAGTACGTAGAATAGAACGCACTTGCGCAGTCCGTGGACAAATTAAGGTGGAGAAGGCGACCATGCATGTTCAAGTCGCAGAAAGTAAGCCATTGTAATTTTGTCAAAAGGGAGCCGGTCGCCGCGACTAGGCCGTACCTCTAAAGTTACCTATACCTCGAGGTGGGTCTTCGTCAGCTCTAAGATATGTAGCATTGAGGAACACATTTGTGTGAGTATGCATGCACATTTTTGATTGGGTCATCCACGGTGACACACCAATGAACATCCTGCATGTGGCCTCTTCAATTCGCAGGAATTTCACAAAGACATGAGCAAGGAAAATACAAGAACTAGGTATGATTGCATGTACTCCCTTCGTTCCTAAATATAAATTTTTGGAAAGATTTCACTATGGACCACATACAGAGCAAAATGAGTGAATCTATACTTTAAAATGCATCTATATACATCCATTTGTGGTCCATAATAAAATCTCCGCAAAGACTTATATTTAGGAACGGAGGAAGTACAAAACAACTGATTGTGTAAGCACGCGAATATGCAAAATTGGATTTTCAATTCGTATGAATAGGAAAACACAAGAATCATAAAAGGCATGGTCAAAGTAAACTCAAACCATATGCAAACTAAGTTGAAATTAATATTATTCAATGATATGCGGTCTTTGTCTCGTTCTTTGTGCGGAGGAAGTAAAAAGATGTTTGAGCATTGAGGGCTCCTTTGATTCAATTGACTCTTAGGATTCCTGGAGGATTCGGATTCTTTGGATTTTTTTTTCTACATAACATGTTTGATTCATAGGATTAGAAAATTCCAAAGACTGTTTTGCACTCTATTTTGCAGGAAAATTTGCATCCACTCAAATCTCGTTTTACAATATATATTTTTCGTGGCATGTGGCACTCCCAAAATCCCAAATCTTGTGGCTTGACAATCCTATTGAATTCAAGTGTGCATGCCATTTTCATTTCTGTGTTTTTTTCTATTGCCTTGTTTTGAAATTCCTGCAAATCAAAGAGCTCCTAGTGGATTGCAAAATTCCTTTGTTATGAGAATTTTATGTGATCAATTTCTTTGAATCAAAGGGATTGAATAGTCTCGTCATAGGAAAAAAAAATCCGCTCCTACGATTTTTCTCTACTTTTCCTATGATGAACCAAAGAGGCCCTAAATCCTGGAACACCATGAAAGCGCTTGTGCATCTGCTGGGAACATGCTTAATTTGCAAGTGTCAACCGAGAGGAAAGCAAAGTGGCACCTTGCGAGGCGACCAAAGAACACCTAGTACGTACGTAGCAGAGAAGTCTTTAGGACCGAGCATGTTTGGCCACCTCGATCGAACGAACCGTGAAGGCACGTTGATTATACACTATAATACTATCGATTAATCGATTAGTCAAAACGAAAAATAAGTAACCACTTCCAACCTACCCTCGCTTTCCACCCACAATGTCAACAGTCATCTGCCGTACTTGACCGGCGACTTTTCGCCTTGCACTCACACTCGCGCCCATCGCATGCCACTTCCTTCAATTCCTCTCATGCCGGCCGGCCAGGCCAGCCAGTATCTCGTCTCGACTCTCTTCTCCCCCACGCTCTATAAAACCTAGCGCCCCCTCCCAATCCATTGCCACGCCGTACCAAGCACACATAGAGAGTTAGAGACACAGCAGGCATCACACAGCTAGCTTCCTCTGCGACTAATCAAGCTACGTAAGCGCGAGCAGCATGACGGCGATGACTATGGCCGGCGCGTCGTCTCCCACCAAGAAAAGCGGCCTCCGGGGGCCGCGGCCGCAGCCGCTGAAGATGGCGTCGGCGCCGCCGTCCTCCAGGCCGTTGACCAAGAAGGCCCACGGTGGCGGTGCGCCGGTGATCGTCTACGAGCACACGCCCAAGGTCGTGCACGCGCGGCCGCACGAGTTCATGACCGTCGTGCAGCGGCTGACCGGCAAGCCGGCGCCGGCTCCGGCGCTGTTCCCTGGCTACGATGTTCCCGTGGCGCCTATGGACGAGGGAGCTGGAGTAGGAGACCCGCTGCTGCTCACCCTCGGGCACGGGCAGCATCCGCCCATGGCGGCCGGGCAGCTCATGTCCCCCGGCGGCTTCATCTTCTCCCCCAACACCATGCAGTCCATTCAGGAGCTCTGCTCAACCCCTTGCGCTAATTGATCAGCAAGCATATGCAGTTGATCTGCAGAGGTTGCTTACTACGGCAGGTACCAGCCTAGAAGATTACACATGCATACTCCTAGTACTGTATATGTAAATAGGACAAATCAGTTAGCCAGGCAGAGTTCGCGCTGTTCGTGTGAAATTTTCCACGAGGTCGATCCATCGATCGAGGGACTGAAATTTCGCACGCACAGCACAGCAGCTTCTTGATACAGTTTTTATACAATTCTTATACAGTTACGCACAACATCTGTACAATTTTTTTCGTGTGTAAGATACACCGTTCGATTTTCGCTTGAGTATTCTAGGGATAAGAAACATATCCGGAGTTCCAAAACAGAATACGGTGTCGCTTTCGTTGTTCCATTTGACCTTTTCCATGCATGTGCTCACGGTTTGACATCAGAACGGCGACAATGAACGGCCGGCCCGCGCAAGTTTTCCGCCATTCGTTGTGACCATTTGTACGCATGCGTCCATGTCAATTAGGTAGACGACGATCTACTCCTCCAATACATTTATGAATGCTTGACTTTTTAGAGGACATTCTAGGGTCCGGTTGCATCTTTCAGCGGCAGCAGCAGCCGATTTGTACTCCCTTTGTAAAGAAATATAAAAGCATTTAGATTACTAAAGTAGTGATCTAAACGCTTTTATATTAGTCTAAAATCTAAAAAGCGGCCAGCCACAATTTTGATAAACAGAGCGGCCGATTTCTGGCCACTCGCTTTTGTGCGTACGTAGTCCAAGTGTCACTTGGTCTGAATCGTATAGAATTGTTTTGAACTGTTGCGTTCTCACATAGTGGACCAAGGAATATAATTAGAAGGAAAGATAGCATGTGATGTCCATTCTCTCTCTTCACATGTGACTGATCTAGCTACCTTTTACAACAATTCAAAAGGTCATAACCTTTTAATCGCGCGTCGGAATTCAGATCCGTTTTCACCGTTGGAACCTTCGCGGCGAGATCTTCGAAATTAGATCCCGCATGGGGTATGTTTCGATGAATTTTTATGCCAACTTTTGTTGCTATATGGTGCAACTTTAGTATTGCATTGTGCAATTTTTGTACTACATGGTGTAACTTTTTTTAAAACAAAATTTTGGAGCTGCATAATTCAACTTCCTATGTGGTTGCAACCTAGCAACCATGACAACCTGATTTGCAACTAGTCTATTGATCTGGTCAACTACCTAATAGTAGATATGCAATCACGACAACTTTTGATGTTTAGTTGCACACACATTGATATTTAGTTGTCAGGACACTAGTTGTTTGTTGGCTTGTAATTTAGTCTAGTTGCACACATGTTGATGTTTAGTTGGCAAAACACTAGTTGCACACACATTGATATTTAGTTGTCAGGACACTAGTTGCTTGTTGGCTTGTAATTTAGTCTAATTGCACATATATTGATGTTTAGTTGGCAGGACACTAGTTGCACACGCATATACTCAGTTGTCGCGGCAATATAGTCTAGTTGCACACACATTGGTGTTTAGTTGGCAGGACTATTTGACACATATATGCTCAGTTGGCCCGGCAATCTAGTCTAGTTGCGCACACATTGATATTTAGTTGGCAGGACACTAGTTGCACACATATGCTCAGTTGGTGCGGTAATGTAGTCTAGTTGCACACACATTAATATTTAGTTGGCAGGACTATTGGCACACACATATGCTCAGTTGACGCGGCAATCTAGTCTAGTTGCACACACATTGATGTTTAGTTGGCAGAAAGACTAGTTCGTCGAAACATCCTCATGCGGGATCTATTTTTGAAGAACACATCGCGAGGGTTTCAATGGTGAAAACGGATCTAAATTTTGACATGTGGTTTAGAAGATATGTCTTTTATAATTTTGAAAACCAAAAAATAATGCACAAGGGACAGACATGAGGAACATTAATACAGTGACATGCAGGTATCCATCACGTAAAAAGATACTACATATGATAGAAACTAGACGTGTTGCCTTTTTTTGGACCAAGCGACATGCACTTACCCTTTTTTAGCCGGCCGCTCGCGAGCGCTAACGAGCCGCCGGCCGCCAGCTAGACGCGCCCTTGTATACTACGCAGTTTGAATTAATTCTGCTGGTTCGAACGGGATGTTGGATGCCTTGCTTGGCCCTGAAATTCAGTTACAGACAGAAGCTGCTATATAGTATTTTGCACGTACTGCTGAGTATATATTTATCTATACACAAATCTAAGGGCACGCATTCAGGTGTGAGAGGCAACAGCACTGCAGTCCAGAAGGGGAAACGACTTTTTTCAAACAGTCCCATATTCTTCTTTTTCTTTTCAACAATAGAAAGGCAATGCTCCTGGCATCTGAATTTTTGGATGCATATGACCATATTTTCATTAAAATGAAGCCAATCATCTAGGCCAAACTAATCTGCCATCTCCTCGAGACGATGAGGTTAGGGTTTGTCGTTATGTGTGGCAAAGTTTGGTGTTGGATGCTTCAGATTTATGCGAGGGTTTCAACGGCTTGCAACCGTTCAACAGTGATGACTGATGCTTCAGGGCGCTGGTCTTTAAAGCATATACTAGAAAAAAGTCTTGATGACCCACAAGTATACGTGATTAATCGTAGTCCTTTAGATAAGTAAGAATGTCGAACCCAACAAAGAGCAGAAAGAATTGACAAACGGTTTTTAGCAATGTATTCTCTACTAGTACTGTAAACAGAGGCAGAGGACAAATTCTAAGGTGTGGCAACACGCTGCACTGTTGCCTGCCGGACGTGACCCGTGAAGGAGGCGGAGCTGGGCAACTGGCTACCGTCGCGCTGCTCACGCCGTCGCTCCCTACTGCCGCCTGCTAGGCCCCGACCGCAGCCCTTCACGCTTGCTCGATGCCTCGACGCCTAGCCCGCGGCCGCCGTCGGCCGTCTCGTCGTCCGCCTCCTCCGTGCCTTCCTAGCCGCCGTCGCGCTAGGAAACAAAGAGAAAAACGTGGAGATTTCGCTGGGGTTGTTGCGTGTGCTGGAGTGCGTCTCGGGTCGGTGGGTGCCTTAGTGCGGTCTGGGGCGATCAGCTCAGTAGTTTAAGGCCTCATGGGCCTGCGTCTGGGTGGCCCATTCCAGCAATTATCAGCGATACAACGAGTCAACGAGGCAACCAACGGAATTATCAGTTGAAGAGTATTCGTTATAAAGATCATTCCAACTCCTCAGATTGCGACAAGTGACGCACATGCAGTGCGCCACTTGTCGCAACCTCGGAGTTTTTCCTTTTTTCGTAGATTCGTTTATTCAAAATGTTTTATCTTTGAAACCGTGCGTTCAAATCTTAAACCGTTTTCACCGTTAGATTCCTTGCGTCAAGATCTTCAAAATTAGATCACATGTTGATAGGTTTTGACAAATTTCTTTTTCAAGAAAAAAATGGACAAAAAACCGAACTAAGAGCACGGATTTTTTCCTTTCCGAAAGAGGCACGCCCGTGCCTCTCACGAAATCACAACCGCGCCTCTCACGGAAGCAAAACCGTAACTCTCGCGGAAGGAAAATAAAAGAGAAAACGTGTTTTTTTCGTTTTCAAGGAGGCACGGCCGTGACTCTCGCGAAAGCACACCCGTGCCTCTCGCGGAAGCAAAACCGTGACTCTCACGAAAGAAAAAAAAACAGAAAACGTGTTTTTTCCGTTTCCAAGAGGCACGGCTGTGACTCTCGCGAAAGCACACCCATGCCTCTCGTGAAAGCAAAACCATGACTCTCGCGAAAGGAAAAGAAAATAGAAAATATGTTTTTTTCGTTCCGAGAGGCACGACCGTGGCTCTTGCGAAAGCACAACCGTGCCTCTCGGAAACGAAAAAAAACGTGTTTTCTGTTTTTTTTCGTTTTCGAGAGGCACGGCCGTGACTCTCGCGAAAGCAAAACCGTGCTTCTCGCGAAAGCAAAATCGTGCCTCTCACGAAAGCAAAATCGCGACTCTCGTGAAAGAAAAAAAGAGAAAACGTGTTTTTTCATGCAAAAAAATCTAATTTTTTTTGTTGAAAAGCTAAGAAGACTGGTGGAAAACCAAAACGTCGAAAAAACCCTGAAAAAAACCGTTTAAATAGCCGAAAACGCGTGTGGAAAAATAAAAAAAAATCCGAAGGAAACGCCCAGAGTGCGACACGTGGCAAATGGCTGAGAGCGCGCCAAGTGTCGCTGATCGTTGCGAGGCTCCCGAAGGAGCGCGCGTTAACTAGTGGCTCCCAACAACCAACGAGCGTACCCGATTGCACGTTATCCGTAGGTATATTACTATTATTTTTGCACCGCATCAAGGTATGGCGGCTGCCACCCCTCGCCCACCGGGGTCCTCCGCCAGTGACTGTAAATACTAATTACAGATAGTTTGATAGTACGATAATTCGTGGCAACTGGCAAGTAACAAAAGTAACAAAGGTGTAAAAAGGTGGCCCAATCCTTTTATAGCAAAGGACAAGATAAAAGTACTTCTTATAATGAGCAAAACATTCTCAAGGACACATGGGAATATTGTCTAGTTAATTTTCATGAGGTTTTAGTTGATTCACGTTCCCTATTATGATAATTTAATATGTTGGTGGACCGATGCTAGGGTGTTGTTCTTAATTGAACAAAAACCCTCTTATGATTACCTCCTCTCGCAAGCATCCGCAACTACGGAAGAAGAATTATGATACATCTAATCATAGCATGAAACATATGGATCTAAATCAGCCCCTTACGGAATAATGCATAAAACTAGGGTTTAAACTTCCGTCACTCTGGCAACCCATCATGTACTTATTACTCCCCAATGCCTTTACCCTAGGCCCAAGCATGATGAAGTGTCATGTAGTCGACATTCACACAACACCACTAGAGGAAGAACAACATACACATCATCAAAATATTAAACAAATACCAACTTCACATGATTAGTTATAACAAGACTTCTCACATGCCCTGAAGAACAAACTGTCAGTGTCAAAACCGATGGATCTCGGGTAGGGGGTCCCAAGCTGTG